CTTCGTGTCGTCAGAGCGCTGTCGGCCTCTAGAGGTACTCACCAACTTCGCCTGATACAGAGACATTGGCACCAAAGAGTTGTCCCTTGAACGTCGCGCCATCTTCCAGGACCAAGGTTGCCGTCGTTGCCATGTTTTCTTCCTCTCCTTCTTTCTGCTCGGTCCGGAGGCTGAAGGTGATCGACTGATGCCGGCAGAGAAGTGATGAGCGGCGGTCTGCTCCACGTGAAACTCACGCTGCGAGAGCGATGATGCGGCAGACAGACCTCGCGCAGGGAAAAAAGAGGCGAAAAAAAGGCGAGAGCAACAAATTTGAGCACAGAAATGTGTCCGTTAGTGTCCTACAATCTCTGCTGTCGGTGAAGGTGCGAAAAAACTAAAGAAAAGCGGCTCCAAGAATATTTTAACCGTTGGCTCTGACAGGACGATGGAAGAAAAGTGTTCCACACGCTACCAGCAGTGTGGAAGTCAGGCTTTAGGCCCGTGCGCCAAGTTTGACGCAGTAGGACACTGCACTTCCTGATACACATTCATAATAAAAGCCATTCGTCGCAGGCGTACACGTGAAGCTTAACAGCTCTTTACAAAGGTACAACGTTTTCCTCCTGTGATTTTTAAATAAACGATTATATGCTATTTGATGTTAAAACGCATCTTAATTGTAGTCATTATGTTCGTATTTTTTTCAAAAGTGCACAGTTTTTGTGACTTTTCTCTCTAGTGAAAAATACTTGTTGCTATTTTCCACTATGAGACTATGGCTTTTAAATAACCATGAACTAACAGCACGTCGTTGTTTCCTTTATGATCAGATTTTAAATTATTAAATGATCAATTCTATAAGTGCATTCGATTTCATTGAAATCATAAAGGAGTATAAAATCCCTCCTATAATTCTGTGACTTTTTGAGCCAAACATATCCTGTTTGTACAGGATGTGGACTTTTGTTTTGAAGGTAGAATATTACATTTCCGGTACTTCCGGCATATTACTGTATATGTCATTGTGACGTTGCCATGGGGTGTGCAGTTGAAGCGGGAAGAAGTTGGAGGAAGTATTTAGGCAAAATACTAACCTTGTTTACTAAAATAACACGAACTTTATTTCTACCAATTACGGTTTTTTTTGCAGATAACACAACAAATCAATAAAATACAGGACAATACGCTTCATAAGTATAGCTAGTTGTTTCTTGTAGATCGGTAATAAGCTGTATCTCTATGGTGAATGTGTTTTTCTCGATACTACATCGGTGACATCGGTGTCTGTGACGGGGGAGTCAGGAGCCGAGCTCTCTATAATCTGCTCCAGTCTGTCACAGCATCCGATCCAGATATTGTATTTAGCTCGAACTCTGAAGCTAACTCTAACAAGCGTCAGAAAGAGCCTTGTTGTGAGTGTGGGCTCAACCAACCCAGACGAAGAGCGGCCACTGACGTCACTCTCCTGGGCCGGACATGAAAACGAAGACGCTGTATGTATGTATGATTGATTTTTTTAAATATTATTATTCCATATGTACCTACTTTAAACAGTGGGGTACTTTCACACTGACACTGCAGACAGCGACCTAACCACACGTCGTACATATATCGATGTGTTGTGCCCTCTAGTGGCGCATTTGATGAACTGAAGGTTTGATTGAAATCTTAAAGCCAGTCGTTATATTATAATAATATTTTATCAAACGGACGAGGCAGTTCGTGTCTAACCCGAGTCCAGATGGATGTGACCCACATTCTGGGCGTCAACACCTATAACGTAAAACTCATTGTAAAATTAACCCTCCACCGCCCGATGGTACACGTGTCAGCCCAACTTGTCGGCAGGAGAGTAGCATCAGTGGCTCATATTTGTGGCCCAGATTCTAGACAGCATATGTGGGCCACAAGATGACCCACAGGAAGAAAGTAATTCCCCTGGAGTTCTGGTACTGATTGAAACCAACGTCACAAAATGATCACTATTTTTCCTCTGAGCCAACTGAACGGCGGTTGAGATAAAAACTAACCGACTCCAGAATTTTTTTTATTGAAATGTAAAAAGTCTGTACTTTTAATGTCAAATATCTTTGACGTGTATCTTATTTAATATTTAATATTTCCCTAAACAAATGTTGACTCTTTGTTTTGTTCTGTGTTGAAGTGAGTTTTAATAAAAAGACGCTCAGAGTTTGATACGTGGTGCGTTCACTGACACTGAGTGGGAAAATAAAGACGTCATTTTGGTGTATTTCTGTTTAAATTTATTCTTTTCTGAAGAGGGAGGAAGAACAAGAATATTATTCAATTTTATTCTTCACGCTCAGAACTTCATGTGTAACTTCCGGGTGGTAGAGGAAGTTCGGTTTGGTTTGGAGTGTGAAAAGTTTGGCTTTAGCTGTGCGTAAAAGTGGAATCACGTGAAACAGAACAAACAAACAAACAAACACTGACGTCACAGGTCTGCATCAGCGAGGCAGCAGGTTGTAGGTTCACTTCCCGACTTCCTCGAACCTTTCTCTGTTGATCTGCGCCTGTTTCTCCGCCTTGGCGATCTCCACCATGTTCCTCAGCAGGTGCAGCGGCAGGTCGATGGACAACGACGGCGGCCCCGCGCTGCGTTTCAGCAGCTGCGCCGCCACCGCCGTCCTCAGCGCCGCGTCGTCGCTCCCCTTCTCCTCCTCCTGGTGGAAAAGCTCCGGGTGGCTCCTCATGAGGAAGAGGAGGAGGAGCTTAAGGAGGTTGGATTCAGCGCCGTCGTCGTCCACCTGCGTGTCCCCCAGAAGGACGTCCTCCAGCCGCTGCCCCTGCGGGAGGCCGCTGTCTTCCAGCCAGGGAGGGAGGAGGTGAGGTCTGCCAGCGGCCGGGCAGAGGTTGGAGGAGAGGAGGAGGGAGGAGACGAGCAACAGCAGGGAGAGTGTGGGCTTCATGTCCTGAGGAAGAACCAGGAAAATCATCCATGATCCAACATCAACAACAACGGAACAGAATTTAAATTTTAAATATATATAATATTAAATTATTCAATTTCATTATGAAGACATTTGTTGTTAGCCGTGAAAACAATATTACAGTAAGACTAAAATGCAGCCCCAGAACAACACAGAGCCTGTCGTTGTGTTTCCTGACAGAGAGTTAAACCAAAAACCTCCAACTACACTGGAGATGAATCTTTGAATGAGTTCGTCTTCTGTCTGCGCTGCAGCTCCAGTCACTGAACACTTTCCTCGACTTTTACCTTAAATCCCAACAGTTCAACCTCAGCATTGTTTCTCCGTGGCTTCTCTTCTCCTCCAGTGAGAATCTTCCTCCTCCCACCCCTCAGACTAACAAAGTCTCACCTGTGGTTCTGAGGCTGCAGCTGGACTCTGCTGGTTTGGGTCTGAGCGTCTCTGAAGTTGCGGTGAGTGTTGGACGGAGGAGGACGGAGACTCTTTATGCTGCTGCTGCTCTGACGTCAGAGTGGACAGAAGTGAGGGAGGGAGGGTGTGGGGAGGGGGGGGGTGATGACAGGAGTCTGCTCTCCTGGATATAATATTTTATATTTTCTTTTCCCCTTAATTTCAGATGTGAATCACCCATCCCTCCGTCGAGGACCTGTCCATGGTGCTGAACCTGCTGAAGGTCAAGTGATGACTGGGAAAGTCTGGGGGGGGGGGGGGGGGGGGGGGGGGGTAAGGAGGAGGGGGTTCGGTCAGGATCAGGAGTTTATCAGACTGACACATAAAGATATTGTGATGTATTATTTATATGTCCACAACATAGATTATGTCTTTGTGTATTTTTGTGTGTTTTTTTTTTATTTAATTTTTATCCAGTGACTTGAAGATCCTGCAGCAGCAGTGGAGCTGCCGTCCCACTGAGTCAGATGATGGTTGGCACATTTTCATTTCTTTTTATTTTCTGATGCGGTGAGCAGGTTGTAAAGTGACTGTGCTGATAATTTGGCCGACACTTCACTCCGTGTCCCACAGGTGAGTTAAAGGTCAGACGGCAGCCGACATAGAACCACAGACGACAAGGTTGGAAACCAGATCCAGAGATGAGTAAGTTCATTATTTTAATAAATGACATCAATCTGGAAATAAAAAAAAAAAATATATATGATTTTTACCTGTTTATAAAATAAACATCAGTTTTATAAACAGGTGACAGATTCTCCAAGTCTGAACAACAGCTTTGAGTCAGTGTGTGCGTGTGTGTGTGTGTGTGTGTGTGTTGATCATCACTGCCAAAATCCCATTTCTACAAAAAAAAAATGTTTTAAGTGTGAATTTGTCATTTTTTGGTCCCTGGAACGTTTTTTTTAAACATCCGATTGAGTCACAGTTTGAGACAAACTCACCACCAGAGGGAGCACAAACAATCAACAACAACAATTAAAAAAAGGTCCAGGTTCCTGCTCCTCTTTCAGATCTTGTTTGCCTTCCAGGTCAGGTAGGAATTCCAGGCCACGGCCACGATCTGGACCACGGCCAACCTGTGGAGAAATATCTGTCAACTGTAGTCCCACTGTCCACAAAGGCAGGAGCTCAGATCTAGTTATCTGGGATCTACTAATCAAACATCCTAAATCTCCTCCACGTCTCAGTCTGCTCTCCTATTCTTCTTCAGTGGTGTCTCCACCAGAGAACTCCTTCTCTGAAGAATTATGGAGGATGACCTCTGACCTACCTCTTTGTCTGATTTAAGGACTGAAACCAATTCCATGAAATCTTTTTTTTTTTAGTGGTACAGACACGATCGTCTGAGAACTTTTCGACTGACTCCTCTCCTGATTCTGATTCCATTTACAGGCGTTTTGATCAAAGACATAACTAAGGACAGTACCTGTGATGAAGTGGAACAAAGTAGAAGTTGGCGATCTGGACTGGAGGCCAGAGCTGGAAGACCAACAGGAGAAGAGTGAGAAGGTCTGGACAGAACCAGGTCTCAGAACTTCACACACGTTCATGTCAAAACACAAAAGAAAAACAACTCACGTAGTAGTTGGAGACCAGAGCGTCGGTGTAGTCCTGGGAGGAAAGACAACAACAGTTACGGCTACGAATGTGTTCACAACCTGCCTACTCAAACGGGGGCCCGTGGACCACACGTGGTACAGACAGGGCCCCAGACCGGCCATAGAGAAACACAGAGAAAAAAAGATCAACACCAAAAATATCTACACAGGAACAGACCGTGAATGCAACACTCTCTGTAGCCTAGCAACATGCTAACCACCATGCATCGCTGGTGAGTAGGGTAAAGTGTTAGCGCTACAGTGTGTTAGCGCTACAGTGTGTTAGCGGTACAGTGTGTTAGCGGCACAGTGACATCAGGAATGTAAAATAATCAATGAAAATCATCGTCTTTCACACGTGTTGATCAGATATTCACTGGACTCGACCGGGTTTAGAACGACAGGGATTTTTACTGTACAATTAAATAAACAACTGAGTAAAAAAAACAGAAATTTGATTTTAAATGTGTTAACATTTCCCTGAACACCAAATACACACACACACACACACACACTCTCTGTCACCATCTTAAAGGTCACCTTGACATCATAAAAAAGCCAATGTTCCAGTTTCTGTCTTTTTCCTGAGTGATGTTTTTTTTATTATGTTCTAACAACTCAGTTCAACACCTGAGGTCGAACCACAGACGTCAGAGGAAACGGTGAATACATATAAAGTACACATAAAGTACATATATAGTACAGATTAAGTACAGTAAAAGGAAATAATAAAAATCACCCTTTTGAGTTTGGCCACGTTTTCCTCCACCGTCAGTCCGTTCAGAGAACCAGAGATGGTCAGGAAGGCCGCCAGGAAACAGGGAGCAAAACACAACTGAAGAGGCAGAGGAGAAGGGGGAGATGGGGGAGGAAGGGCAAGAAGGAGAAAAGAAAAGTTAAAGAAGTTAAAAAAGGAGAAAAATCAACTACACAAACACCATCAAGTACTTTTCCACCACATCTGACAAGAGAGAGAGAGAGAGAGAGAGGGAGAGAGAGAGAGACCACATGACTGACCCAGTGTGGGACTGAACTCATTGAACTCATCTACATTTTTGTTCCCATCATCACCTGGTCGACCAACATCTTCTTCATTGCAGCACTTTTAGTTCCTCCAACCACGAGTTTGTCCAAAACCTTGTACCAGCTGCCAATGACCGGACCCTGAGAAGAGAGAAACACACATCTTATTACACACACACACACACACATTACTGAAATATTACTCTCATTCTGAGGAATTTACTTCTTCATACACGACATGCACCAACGTTCAAGTACTCTTCCACCACTCCCCACACCTCCATTCAACAACAAGTCTTAGTCAGTTCAGTCAGTCATCTGAGGAGACGCTCAAAGACTTTGAAGTAAAAATACATCTACGTGGCTTTTCGTGAGTTCTTCGTGGTTTTGTTTGGTGGACTCACGACAAAAAAGAATCCGATGCTCATCATCTTGGCCGTCCGCTGGACGTTGTGCTGCGCCAGACCTCGTCGTTCGATCAGCTGCTGGGAGATGACGTCACCCAGGCCCACTAACGACCCTGGGGGAGACGTGGGGGGGAGGGTTTTATTTAAGTTGTTTGTCAAAGCTGACTGCTGGTGATCACCTGAACTGCAGGCTGCTGTGAGCTGCTGCGAGCGCCGTCATCCATGGCTGTTCTCCCAGATCCTAAAGGTGAAGTTTCCCACTGTGGGAACGTCTCTGTAATGAGTCGACTCTGGTGCTGCAGCGAGTTCTTGTCACTGATCAACGTTTATCGTCTCTGCTTTATTTCAACCATCACTTCAGCTCCACGGACTCCAACAAACTCAGGACAGAACTGAGAACTTTTGAGTTCTACCACTGCAGGAACCAGGAACTAAACAGAAGTACCAGGACTGTCACCAGACACCAAAACTAAAGAACTCAGACTGTTGAGAACTGAATTATTCAACCGCTGCAGTGACGTCGTTATGAACTGGCAGGAAAGTTTCCTCAGTCGTTTCAAACATCTTCTTATGGTGAGAAGAATCACAAACATCTCACAGATTTATGACTGAAGCACATGTTATTGATCAGTGATGACATCATGGAACCAACGGAACCTCCCGTTACGACATTTTCTTTTTCTCAAGAAAACGACCGAGAGTTATTGAATAGAATTATTGTTCTCCCTTTGTATAAACAAATGTACAAACGCAGTCTGATATTCATCTTTAATAAGATAACAATATATAAGATAAGATAAATGTCAAGACTCAGTTTTGCTCCTCTGCCTCCATCTAGTGGTGGTGAAGCGACACAGCAGTCGGATGTAGAAATAATTCAGAACCAGTCTTACCATATTTCAAAAACAATCAGAGTTCCCAGAGTTCCTGACAGAAACACTTCACTCAGGTCAAAGACCACTTTTCTCCCTGTTGTTTTTTAGAAACGGGTGGGGACTCGGTAAATAAGGACAAAGATCAAATTAGGAGGAACGGACTCCACAGATTGCGCCACCAACTCCTCTGTTTATAATTCATCTTGGGAACAATTCACGTGTTAAAAGGAGACCAGAACTCGCAGTTCAGATGTCAAAGAGTGTTAATGTCGTACCTGCGGTCAGGATCTGAACTCTCCAGGGATGTTTGGTCATCAGGACCTGGTAGGATCTCCACAGGCCCAACATTCTCACTGCTAACACACAGACGACCCAGAAATGAAACTTTTTAAAAAGTCAGATTTTAACGCTACGTTGCATCACATTGACCCGCCCACGCCACGGTTTGCAATGTGACTCAAATCAAGCGACCCTGCTAATGAGTTCCGTTACACTGTTCATCAGTTTAAATGTAGTTTTCACCTCTGACAACGAATATTCTGCATGTTGAATTTAATACTTAATAAATCGACTGAAAAAGAAACAACGACAAATTAAATGTGGTGTTTAAAAAAGTGTACACACAGATATGTTTGGTTGAATTCAGTTTCTGACAACGACGCTGACGTCCGGGACAATCGTTCCACAACGGATTCCAAAATGGAGTTGTATTTTCTTTTTTACATTTTTGAACATGAAAATAAAAATAACTATCGAGTTTTATTGTTGCAATTTTATTTAAAAACGTTGAAGATGAAAACAAACAATTCATCCGTGGCCGATTCTTAATAGTCTCTAGTTGGATCTAATATAAACGTCAATAATATATAAAACACCATCATGGTTGTGAAAACATTCCAGTAAAACTGTTTATTTCTGGTGGTGGTGACAGTAAGTTTTAGATACGTGTAAAAATGATTTAATCTTAGTGACTTCCGTAGACAACAAGTTATCTTACTTTATAAAATGAATAAGAATTTTTAGGCG